GGGCGGTACCGGGAGAGGCGGCGGGGGGGGAACGGGGAGGACTCAGGGGGGGAAAGGAGCGGTGAGGGGGGAGTGGGAGGTACCACTGAGGGGAGACGGGGGGAGGCGGGAGGTACCACTGAGAGCGAGTGGGAAGCACCACTGAGGGGGAGTGGGACGTACCACTGAGCGGAGACGGGGGGAGATGGGAAGTACCACTAAGGGGAGATGGGAGGTACCACTGTGAGCGCGGGAGGGGGGGTGTGGGGCGTACCATGTAAAGCATGGGGGGGACACCAAAGTGGGTTGTACCACTGAAAGGAGGGGGGCGCAGGGCTGTACCATTCTAGGAGCGGGGGTCCCCAAGGCCACCCAGCGCCCTCGTGTCTCAGGTCACCTTTATTGTCCCCGTGGGGACGCAAACCCCCGCCCAGGGTGTGGCACAGCCCCGAATTTTGGGGTGAAAAGGGAGAGTTTTGGGTGCCAGAGCCGCTGCGGTGACCCCAGGGACAAGAGGATTTGGGACCCCAAAAATGGACTTAGGGACCCCAAAATGTCCCCAAAAATGGATTTTGGGGTCACGAGGTTCCAAATTTACCCCCAAAAATGGATTTGGGGACCCCAAAATGTCCCCAGAAATGGATTTAGGGACCCCAAAATGTCCCTAAAATTGGATTTAGGGACCCCAAAATGTCCCCAAAAACGGATTTAGGGACCCCAAAATGTCCCTAAAATTGGATTTAGGGACCCCAAAATGTCCCCAGAAATGGATTTTGGAGTCCTAAAATTCCCAATTACCCAAAAAAATCCTGATTTGGGAACCCCAAAATGTCCCCAAAAATGGATTTGGGGACCCAAAAATGTCCCCAAAAACTATTGTCCCCGTGGGGACGCAAACCCCCGCCCAGGGTGTGGCACAGCCCCGAATTTTGGGGTGAAAAGGGAGAGTTTTGGGTGCCAGAGCCGCTGCGGTGACCCCAGGGACGGGACGAGGTCACGGAGTGTCCCCAAAAGAGGATTTGGGACACCAAAAATGGATTTGGGGACCCCAAAATGTCCCCAAAAATGGATTTTGGGGTCACAAGGTTCCAAATTTACCCCAAAAAATTATTTTGGGCTCCCAAAATGTCCCCAAAAATGGATTTAGGGACCCCAAAATGTCCACAAAAATGGATTTTGGGGTCACAAGGTTCCAAATTTACCCCAAAAAATTATTTTGGGCTCCCAAAATGTCCCCAAAAATGGATTTGGAAGTCCTAAAATTCCCAATTACCCCAAAATGTCCCTAAAATTGGATTTAGGGACCCCAAAATGTCCACAAAAATGGATTTTGGGGTCACAAGGTTCCAAATTTACCCCAAAAAATTATTTTGGGCTCCCAAAATGTCCCCAAAAATGGATTTAGGGACCCCAAAATGTCCCTAAAATTGGATTTAGGGACCCCAAAATGTCCACAAAAATGGATTTTGGGGTCACAAGGTTCCAAATTTACCCCAAAAAATTATTTTGGGCTCCCAAAATGTCCCCAAAAATGGATTTAGGGACCCCAAAATGTCCCTAAAATTGGATTTAGGGACCCCAAAATGTCCACAAAAATGGATTTTGGGGTCACAAGGTTCCAAATTTACCCCAAAAAATTATTTTGGGCTCCCAAAATGTCCCCAAAAATGGATTTAGGGACCCCAAAATGTCCCTAAAATTGGATTTAGGGACCCCAAAATGTCCACAAAAATGGATTTTGGGGTCACAAGGTTCCAAATTTACCCCAAAAAATTATTTTGGGCTCCCAAAATGTCCCCAAAAATGGATTTAGGGACCCCAAAATGTCCCTAAAATTGGATTTAGGGACCCCAAAATGTCCACAAAAATGGATTTTGGGGTCACAAGGTTCCAAATTTACCCCAAAAAATTATTTTGGGCTCCCAAAATGTCCCCAAAAATGGATTTAGGGACCCCAAAATGTCCACAAAAATGGATTTTGGGGTCACAAGGTTCCAAATTTACCCCAAAAAATTATTTTGGGCTCCCAAAATGTCCCCAAAAATGGATTTAGGGACCCCAAAATGTCCACAAAAATGGATTTTGGGGTCACAAGGTTCCAAATTTACCCCAAAAAATTATTTTGGGCTCCCAAAATGTCCCCAAAAATGGATTTAGGGACCCCAAAATGTCCACAAAAATGGATTTTGGGGTCACAAGGTTCCAAATTTACCCCAAAAAATTATTTTGGGCTCCCAAAATGTCCCCAAAAATGGATTTGGAAGTCCTAAAATTCCCAATTACCCAAAAAAATCCTGATTTGGGGGTCCCAAAATGTCCCCAAAAATGGATTTGGGGACCCAAAAATGTCCCCAAAAACGGATTTGGGAGTCCTAAAGTGTCCCCAAAAAAGGATTTTGGGGTCCCAAAGTTCCAAATTTACCCCAAAAAATGATTTTTGGGTTCCCAAAATGTCCCCAAAAATGGATTTAGGGACACAAAATGTCCCCAAAAATGGCTTTGGGGACCCCAAAGTTTCCCAAAAATGGCTTTGGGGACCCCAAAATGTCCCCAGAAATGATCATTATTTTGGGCTCCCAAAATGTCCCCAATTTAGGGACACAAAATGTCCCCAAAAATGGCTTTGGGGACCCCAAAATCCCTCCCCACCCCCCAAATCCACCCTGGGGGTCCCAGATTTGGGGTCCCGGGCGGTGAAAGCAGAAAATAAATTAAAGTTTTGGGGTTTTTGGGGCGTCCCCCCGGTGTCCCCTCAGTTCACCACGAGCGCGTCGTCCTGCGCGGGGGCCCTGCGGGGACACAATTTGGGGTTTTTAGGGGATTTTGGGGTTTTTAGGGGATTTGGGGTTTTTTAGGGGGTTTTGGAGGTTTTTTTAGGAGATTTTTGGGGTTATTTTAGGAGATTTTTGGGTTTTTTAGGAGATTTTGGGGTTTTTTTAGGAGATTTGGGGGAGGGTTTAGGGAATTTGGGGCTTTTTAGGGGATTTGGGGTTTTTTTTTAGGAGATTTTGGGGGTTTTTTAGGAATTTTGGGGGTTTTTAAGGGGGTTTTGGGGTTTTTTAGGGGATTTTGGGGTGTTTTAGAGGATTTTGGAGGTTTTTTTAGGGGATTTTGGGGTTTTTTAGGGGATTTTGGGGTGTTTTAGAGGATTTTGGAGGTTTTTTTAGGGGATTTTGGGGTTTTTTAGGGGATTTTGGGGTGTTTTAGAGGATTTTGGAGGTTTTTTTAGGGGATTTTGGGGTTTTTTGGGCAGTTTTTAGGGGCCCCAAAGTGTCCCCAAACCCCCTCAAAGTGTCCCCAAACCCCCTGAAATGTCCCCAAAACCCCTGCAATGTCCCCAAACCCCCCCAAAGTGTCCCCAAGCCCCCTCAACGTGTCCCCGACCGGGGGCAGCAGCAGAGGCCGGGGCAGGAGCCGGAGCTGTCCCGGCGGAACTTTCCGGATCCAGGGCTGTCCCGGCACTGAGCGATGAAGGCGTGGAGCTGCGACACCGGGGGGACAGCCTCCGACTGGTGCTGGGGACATGGGGACACGTCAGGGACACGTCAGGGACATGTGACATGGGACAGGAGCTGGGACACCGGGGGGACAGCCTCCGACTGGTGCTGGGGACAGGGGACAGGAGAGGTAACACACACAGGTGATGTCACACACAGGTGACGTCACACACAGATGATGTCACACACAGGTAACACACACAGATGATGTCACACACAGGCGATGTCACACCCAGGTGAGGTCCCACCTGTCGCGCTCACCTTGATGGTGTCGTAGGAGCCGGTGATGAGATCACACACAGGTAACGTCACACACAGATGATGCCACACACAGATAACACACACAGGTGATGTCACACAGGTGATGTCACACAGGTGATGTCACACAGGTGACGTCACGCCCAGGTGAGGTCCCACCTGTTGCGCTCACCTTGATGGTGTCGTAGAAGCCAGTGATGAGATCACACACAGGTAACACACACACAGATAACTCACCCAGGTGAGATAACACACACAGGTAACACACACAGGTGATGTCACACAGGTGATGTCACACAGGTGACGTCACGCCCAGGCGAGGTCCCGCTCACCTTGATGGTGTCGTAGGAGCCAGGGATGAGATCACACACAGGTAACACACACAGGTGATGTCACACACAGGTAACACACACAGGTGATGTCACACACAGGTAACACACACAGATGATGTCACACACAGGCGATGTCACACCCAGGTGAGGTCCCACCTGTCGCGCTCACCTTGATGGTGTCGTAGGAGCCGGTGATGAGATCACACACAGGTAACGTCACACACAGATGATGCCACACACAGATAACACACACAGGTGATGTCACACAGGTGATGTCACCCAAAATCCCCCCAAAATCCCCACCCCAAAACCCCCAAGTGTCTCAAAACTCCCTGAAATCTCCCAAAATCCACCCCAAAATGTCCCCAAATCCCCTAAAACCTCACCCAAATACCCCAAAACCTCCCCAAAAATCTTCAAAATCCCCCCCAAATCCCCGAAAAGGTCCCAAAATCCTCTGAAACCTCCCCAAATCCCCTCAAAGTGTCCCAAAACTTGGTGAAATCACCCCAAATCCCCCCAAAATCCCCCAAAGGTCCCAAAAATCCCCCCAAAAGTCCCAAAGTCTCCCAAAACCTCCCCCAAAACCCCTCAAAAAACCCTAAAACATCCCAAAATCCCCCAAACACCCCCCAAAGCGTCCCCAAACCCCCCTGGAGTGTCCCCAAAGTGTCCCCAAAGCCCCCAGAGTGCCCCCGAAGTGTCCCCAAACCCCCCTGAAATGTCCCCCAAAGTGTCCCCAAACCCCCTCAAAGTGTCCCCAAACCCCCTGAAATGTCCCCAAAACCCCTGCAATGTCCCCAAACCCCCCCAAAGTGTCCCCAAGCCCCCTCAACGTGTCCCCGACCGGGGGCAGCAGCAGAGGCCGGGGCAGGAGCCGGAGCTGTCCCGGCGGAACTTTCCGGATCCGGGGCTGTCCCGGCACTGAGCGATGAAGGCGTGGAGCTGGGACACCGGGGGGACAGCCTCGGACTGGTGCTGGGGACACACAGGGGACACGTCAGGGACACGTCAGGGACATGTGACATGGGACAGGAGCTGGGACACCGGGGGGACAGCCTCCGACTGGTGCTGGGGACAGGGGACAGGAGAGGTAACACACACAGGTGATGTCACACACAGGTGACGTCACACACAGATGATGTCACACACAGGTAACACACACAGATGATGTCACACACAGGCGATGTCACACCCAGGTGAGGTCCCACCTGTCGCGCTCACCTTGATGGTGTCGTAGGAGCCGGTGATGAGATCACACACAGGTAACGTCACACACAGATGATGCCACACACAGATAACACACACAGGTGATGTCACACAGGTGATGTCACACAGGTGACGTCACGCCCAGGTGAGGTCCCACCTGTTGCGCTCACCTTGATGGTGTCGTAGAAGCCAGTGATGAGATCACACACAGGTAACACACACACAGATAACTCACCCAGGTGAGATAAGACCAGCGAGAAGAGGCACTCGGACACCATGGAGAGGGACCGGAACTGGGGACAGACACCTGTGTGTCACCTGTGTCACCTGTGTGTCACCTGTGTGAGCTGTCACACCTGTAACCTGTAACCCCTGTCATCGCCATTGACCAGCGAGAAGAGGCACTCGGACACCATGGACAGCGAGCGGAACTGGGGACAGACACCTGTGTGTCACCTGTGTCACCTGTGTGTCACCTGTGTGTCACCTGTGTGTCACCTGTGTGTCACCTGTGTGTCACCTGTGTGTCACCTGTGTGTCACCTGTGTGTCACCTGTGTGTCACCCACATTTCATCCATGGATTTTGGAAGGAACCCAACCCCAAACCCAGGACTGGAGAACATCCCGACCCCCACACCTGAAATCTGTGAATCCCCTGACCCCAAACCCAAAATCTGGGAATTCCCAAAAGCCAAACCCAAAATTTGGGAATCTCCCGACCCCAAACTGGGATTTGGGGCCACCCAGACCCACCTTGACGTGGTGCAGGCCCAGCACAGAGATTTGGGAAGGAACCCGACCCCAAACCCAGGACTGGAGAACATCCCAACCCCAAACCTGAAATTTGGGAATTCCCAAACTCCAAACCCAAAATTTGGGAATCTCCCAAACCCCAAACGGGGATTTGGGGCCGCCTGGACCCACCTTGACGTGGTGCGGGCCCAGCACGATCCAGCCGCAGAAGCAATACCCCAAATAAATCACGGCCACGCAGCAGCAGAAGCGCATCACGTTGGGCAGCGCCACGCGCAGCGTCACGATCAGGATCTGGGGTGAAAAACGGGGAAATCGGGAAAAACGGGAATTATCAGCGAGTGGGGAGGGGAAAACGGGGGTTTGGGGTGGGAAAACGGGGATTTGGGGTGGGGAAATGGGGATTTGGGGTGGGAAAATGGGGAGTTGGGGTGGGGAAATGGGATTATCCAAGTGTGGGGAGAGTGTCACGTCGGGGACACCATGCGCAGCGTCACGATCAGGATCTGGGGTGAAAAATGGGGAAATCGGGAAAAACGGGAATTATCAGCGAGTGGGGAGGGGAAAACGGGGGTTTGGGGTGGGAAAACGGGGATTTGGGGTGGGGAAATGGGGACTGGGGGGTGGGAATGGGGTTTA